GGAGGAAAGAGACTGGAGGTTGGATCAATCACCAGTGGGCAAGGGTGTAATCAGTCATGCCCATGTACTAAAGGCTCTGTAAAAACCCAAAAGGAGAGGTTTGGAGAGCTCACGGGTTGGTGAACACCTGGGGGTTTGGGGCGAGTGCTGTGCTCAGAGGAGGCATGGAGACTCTGTGCCCTTTCTCAACAACTGGTCCTGGGCGTCTGTTGCATCGGCTGTTCCTGAGTTATATCCCCTTCTGATAAACCTACAATCTGGTAGGTGAAATGTTTCCCGAGTTCTGTGAGCTCCTCTAGCAAGTTAATCCAGCCTGAGGAGGAGATGCAGTGACCCAGCAGCGGCTGCAGGTTCTCTATATTTTATCACAAAAAGAATTAGCCCTCGCCAGTTTGGCTCAGTGGATAGAGCGTCGGCCTGTGGACGGAAAGGTCCCAGGTTTGATCCCGGGCAAGGGCACGTCTCTCAAGTTGCAGGCTTCTCCCAGCATCTGCTGCTTGGGTCGTTGTGAGAATGAAACAGGATGACGTTTGTACAGCAACTGCCTTTTCCTGGGCGCCCCTCACTGCGTCAGCTGGAGAGGCCCCCTGGTGGTTGAAGAAACCTCTGGTGCTGAGAAGTGGTTTCAAATTACTGGGGAACAAACCCTCTGGCATTCACTGTTCAGTGTCCCTGACACTTCACCCGCGCACCCAGAGGGCCCGATGCACCCCTCCCCGCTGAGCTTGGTGTGAACCCACCACCTAGACTACAGGGTGGGGGCGCTCGATTTGGTTTCAGGACTGTCTGCAGCAGAACAGCCCACTTCCGGGCCCTGCGGGCCTGGGTTGGGGTCGGCTGTCACCCTAAGAGGGTTGAGAATGAGCTAAAAACCAGGTCACCTCATCCCGGGGGCCAGCCACTCAGTCGATTAGAATTTGAGTGCGAGTGGCCCTTTTGTGGAAGTGGCAAAGCAGTGAAGACCCAGGATTTGACAGCGCCCGGGTCTGGGAAAGGGGTGTGGGGAGCAGTGCTGAGCTTTTCAGAGGCCAAGGATTCCTCTTGATGGTTTTTTTCAATATGTTTTTATTGATTTCAGAGAGGAAGCAAGAGGGAGAGCGATAGAAACATCCATGATGAGAGAGAATCATTGATCGGCTGCCTCCCCCAATCCCCTACTGGGGATCGAGCCCACAACCTGGGCATGTGCCCTTGACCGGAATCAAACCTGGGACCTTTCAGTTGGCAGGCTGACGTTCTATCCACTGAGCGAAACCGGCTAGGGCTCCTCCTGATGGTTTTAAGAAGGGTTCTTCAGTTGTGTTCTTGGATGGGGCATCGAAATCCCATTTTAAACGCACACTGCATCCATTTCTGATTGATTTTTGTTTATCTAGAGCAGGGGTCCTCAAACTACGGCCCGCGGGCCACATGCAAATACAAATATTGTATTTGTTCCCATTTTGTTTTTTTACTTCAAAATAAGATATGTGCAGTGTGCATAGGAATTTGTTCATAGTTGTTTTTTTTAAAACTATAGTCCGGCCCTCCAACGGTCTGAGGGACAGTGAACTGGCCCCCTGTTTAAAAAGTTTGAGGACCCCTGATCTAGAGCCTCTGGGACTTGCCAAGTCTCCATCAATAAACGAGAGGATTGAGGAAGAGGTAATGAAAGGGCTGGAGCCAGTGGGGGGAATGGGCGAGGGATAGGAGCTGCCCCCGGCCTGCAGAGAGGGGGTGCAGTTAGAGGAGGTGTTCACAGCGATGGCCACCAGGGGACTTGCTGGGGTTCAGCCCAGTCCAGTGAGAGCCCCGCGAGGGCAGGAAGTGCGGGGCGTGACAAGGCACGGGGTTTGGAACCAGGAAACCTGAGTGTTGAGTCCCAGTTCGGGAAGAGAGATTACTTGGATGGAGGTGGTTAATCCCTACTTTTGCTCTTAGCAACCTCACCCTTCCGGAAGGGCCAGCTCAGACAAAGGCCTAGCTGAGTGGGGCTGGACCTGCCGAGGACCCTTGCCTGCTGGCCCCTGCTGGCTGCCCGGCTGGAATCCGGCCAAGAGTGCCCAGTCACCAGACTGGAGGCTGGTTCTAACATGGCCAGCTGCACAATCAGATTCTGAGAATTTGCCAGGAAACTGGAGATCAGTGATAGTGACCTTGGGGACACGAGACTGGAGCCTGGGCACCATGCAGGGCCACTTGCAAGATGAAGAAAGGGAGGGAGGAGGAAAGAGAGAAAAAGAAATCGTAAGAAGGTGAGAGCACCCTCATCCTGGCTGGTTCCACAGTTCCCTTGCACGAGGCCCCTCAACACTGCCTCCTGCCCTCTGCTCCTGCGAGGAAAGCCCTGGTGCCACAGCCTCCACTTCTTCTACTTCTTGAGCCCTCACCAGCCCAGCCCCCTGGGAAGAGTGGCAGAGAGAATTAAATGAAATGATGAGCGCGGATGAGTTTGAGGGCTCACTCCTGGGGCTCTAACTCCCCTGGAGGTGCCCTGGGCCACCCTTCTTGTTGTTGTTGTTGTTCTTCTTCTTCCTCTTCTTCTGCTTCTCCTTCTTCTTTTAAATATTTTTATTGATTTCAGAGAGGAAGGGAGAAAGAGAAAGAGAGAAACATCAATGATGAGAGAGAATTATTAATTGGCTGTCTCCTGCATGCCCCCTACTGAGGTTGAGCCCACAACCCAGGCATGTACGCTGAGCAGGAATAGAACCGTCATTTCTTGGTTCATAGGTAGAGGCTCAACCATTGAGCCACACTGGCCAGGTCCATGAGTCTTCCCCCCCTGCCCCCCCAGCATCCCAACCTGCTGCCACTTCTGTATTCAACTCAGGGATGTTCCCCTCTTTTCCAGTTTGTGTCCCCACAGCCCCACCTGCACCCCATCAGCCTTCCCTTGAGAGCAGGGCCTTGTCCATCATGTTCATGCTCCGTGAGCCCTTCCTGGGAACACCTGGTGCCTAACCGGCCTCAGGTCCCATTGGAGGACTCACTGAGCATAAGGGTGACGACGCTCTCCACTGAGTCACCCATGTTGCTGGGAACTGCAGGGTCAACCTCAGGGCTTCCTTGTCCGTCACCCTGTGCTCAGGCACAGAGCCTTGGCATTGAACTTCCCGAATGTTCCTGCCCTCAGTCCTCTCCTCCCCACCTGGGTTTCCATTACCCCAGAGACTTCTTCCTGGCGGGGCCACAGCCTCCTGCGCTCCACTCTGCACTCTGCCTTGAGGGAGCTGTGAGGCCCCTCCCTTTTCAAAGCTGCCCAATCCCCTTGGCTTTCAAATCCCTTGGTGTTCTGGGCCCCACCCCTCCAGCCCCACCTCCTCCACTCCTGGCTTCTCCCCTTTTTTGTTTTGTTTGTTTGTTTTCTTAATATGTTTTCCATTGATTTTTAGAGAGAGTAGAAGAGGGGGGAAGGGAGGGAGAGAAAGAGAGAGGAAGAAACATGGATATGACAGAGACATCGATTGGTTGTTTCTCAAATGTGCCCGGACCCAGGTACCTGCCCTTGACTGACAATCTGTATGTGGGCCGACGCTCTAACCATTGAGCTACCGGCCTGGGCTGGCTTCTCCCTTTTGGCTTCATTAACAAGGAACTGTTTGACCTTGAAGTGGTTCACCTCCCTACCTTTGACCCCCCCCCACCCCGCCCCCCCCCTTTCTGCCTGGAAGGCTGCACTCACTCCAGCACCCCTGTCACCTCACTAGCTCTCAGTTTTTAAGAAACAGCTCAGCCGTCACCTCTTCTCACGGACGCGTGGGGCGCATGCAGGCTGGCCCAGGGCCCTCTGCTGTTCCCAGAATCCCGGTGCTTCAGTCACATCAGGGTGCACACGGGGAACGGTAACAGTGGGCATTGTTCCGGTGTCCGCCTGCTCCCCGAGGCGGTGACGGACGGCCTGGCACTGCTATGGGCGCCAGGAAAGTTTTGGCAGCTGTGGACCTGGTTTAATGCCTGCTCCGTTCTCTTCCAGCTGCGACTCTGGGCAAGTTGTTTAACCTCTGTCAACCTCAGGCTCTCCAACCATGTGATAGACATAATCATCTCCACATCACAGGGTCGCTGGGAAATCGAAGGCACCGCATGTACAGCCCTTCGCACCAGGCTGGGTTTGTGGGGACGGCTCCCTGGGTGTTAGCTGCTAATGTAACAGAACAAAACGTCTAGGAATCCCAGGGCAAAGGTGTCTGAGCATCAGGGCGGACTCTGCTGTTCCGAGAAGAACTGAGAAGTCTTGGAAAACAGCAGTAAGAACAACACATCTCCCTTACCAAGTCCTCCTGCAAGGAAGTTGCAGGGGGAGACGTGCTGAGAAACCAGGAGTCCTGAACAAACCATGATTGAGGTTTGAAAGTGAAAATGGAAACGTTGAAAGGAAAGCGTGGATTTCCTTAGGGAACAGATGGGGAGGACTTGGGCCTGTGGAGACACTGGAGGGACAGATGGCAAAGATGGAGAGAATTTGGCGCCGGGTGGCAGCGGCGGTGGTGGTGGGGCGGGCAGGGGAACGACTCAGGGCCCTGGCTGAGCTCCCTGTGGAATGCCACCCGCAGGGTGGTTGGTACAGCGGCCCCGGAACTGCAGCGTTGGACTTGCCAAGGCGGCTCCAGAAATTCTAGCCCTTCCCAGGGGAGCCTGGGCTCCGAGAGAAGGCAGCAAATCGAAGTTTCACAAACTCTCGTGCGTGTGTGTGCGTGTGAGTGTGTGAGGCGGCGGTTGCCCTGCGAGGTAGCAAGAGGGTGGAAACGATTCCCAAAAAACTGGGTAGGCGTGGGGACAGGGCTCAGCTATCGCCACTTCCCCCCAGGCTGCCCCTCCAAGAAGGCCAAGGGCAAAAGCGCGCCAGCCCGGAGGTCAAGCGGAGGCGCTCTGGCACTCCTCTGCCTCCCGGCGCGGGCCTCAGTCTCCTCCTCCGGGCAGTGGGTCGGCATCCCGCGCTGGGAAGAACAGCTCCCGTTGGCCCGCCCGAGCCGGCCCCTCCCCGGAGCCTCCCCGAGGGTGTGGACGCGTCTCGGTCTAGTTCCCACCCACCGCCCCAGGGGCCCGGACGGGAAGGCGCTGCCGGCGGGCGCGCGGGGAGGGAGCCGGTGCGCTCGGACCTGCGCGCGGAAGGTGCGCCCGCGTCGGCCGCGGAGTTCCCCGGCGGGGGCGGCGGGCCGGGCGGGGACGAGGTCCGAGGGCCCCGGGGGCGGCCGCCGCGCCGGGAGGTTCGGCCGCGAGCGTGACATCACGGGGAGGGGCCAGCGCGGCGCCCCCGGCGAGGAGCCGAGCGCGGAGGGCGCGGAGCCGGAGCCGGAGCCCAGCGGCGGGGAGCGCACGCCGAGGCCCCATGGAGCGGTACAAAGGTAAGGGCGCGGGGCCCCCCCGTGTGCACCCACTTTTTTCCCGCCCCGCACAACGGGAGAAAGAGACCTCGGGAGGGCGCGGGCGTCCCCGCCGCACCCCACGTCCCGCCGGGACTCAGGTGAGCAGAGCCGTCTGCCTGGCGGAGCCCAGCCCGGGACCACAGCTGCGCTGCGGGCGGGGTGAGCGCACCCCTCCCCGGCCCTTGGATCCTCCCCAGGGGCGGAGGGCTGGGGTCGGCGTGGCGCAGCTTCTCACCTGTTGGAGGAGCGAGGGCTCGCTTTGCGACTCGCCCCCAAGTCCCGGCCGCCCCAGAACGATGCTGGGGCCGGAGGAGGCCCGAAGGACGTCGGGACCGTCCGGGGCGGCTTCGGGGCAAAGGGGCGAGTTGTCGGAGCTTCTTGCCCGGGGACCCCGGGAAAGCCTGCGCGCAGATGCACTTGGGAGGAGGGTGGGTGCGCAGCCCCACTCGCACCGGAGGCCGCCCCAACCGTCCCGCAGCTCGGGTAACTGTCTTTCTTCGAGCCCTTCTCCCCCTCACCTGCGCCCCACCCTGTCCAAGCAGGGGAGGGTGCAGGGATTGGGGGCCGAATGGCGTGCCCGGCAGGTGGAGCGGGTGGAGGCGCGTGTGCCAGAGGCTTAGTCCAGTGCGCAGCTGGGCAAGTTTTGGGTTTGGCCCAGGCCCGGGATCTTGGCCAAATCCTGGTGGGCGGGCCGGCCCGGGTTGTGCCCCGTGCCCAGCTCGCACCCGTGCTCTGAGCCCCGGGCTGGAGTCTAGAAGCCTCGGATTGCAGACCTTCTGAAAAGCACTTTGAAGGGCTGCTCAACGGGACGCAGCGGGCGCCTTCTGCCCCCCTTTCTTTTGGGAAAAGCCTCTTGCACTTTCCTTGTCCCGGACTCGTCTCTGCCAAACCTGACAGAGGAAATACTGTTACTATATTTATTTTCCCCTGGGAGAGAGCAAGAAAGGCGAATGCTCAGATTCCCAAGGAATCTCACTCCCAGTAGTTTCTGTTTTCAGAAACGGACAGTAAAGAAACGTTAGGGACTGGCTTGAGTTCCCTGAGAGGCTAGCCCTGTCTTGTGTCTTTTGATTTTCCCATTGCTTTTTTTCCTCATCTGAGTCACCTGAGTTACAGGTGAGGGCGAAAGACCTAAATTGTAGACAGGGCTTCACGTGTAAAGGCTTAAAGGGCTTTGCCAGGAGCAGGGGGGCCAGCTGCGGTTACAGGGTGAAGTGAGTTGGCAAATTCTTTCTTTCTGTGAACCTCCCTGGAGCCTCTCACAGGTTTCTAACCGGGTGGTGTGTGTGTGTGTGTGTGTGTCTGTCTGTCTGTGTCTGTCTGTCTCAGATTCTGCCAAGACCATGTCGGTTTTGTGCTCCAATGACTGATGGCGCCCTCACCTAGTCCTCTCAGAACCCTGGAGGAAGCCCCAGTCCCTCTCCTTATAGAATGGCTGTTTGCTGCTCCCTCCCCATTCTGCCTCCCCTGCCCTTGGGAGGGACCCTCCCAGGGAACTCAGGACTTGAGAGGCCCCCTGATGGAAAGTGGGGTCCCCTGGGGTCCCCTCCAGCTCAGGACCTGCCATTCCTGAATGGTGTTAGGTCCAGGTTGCAAGCTACTCTCTCAAATCAGCTTATTCATCCTTCTAAGTTAGGGTACATCTGGGGTCTTCTGCCCAGTTATTATCAGAAGGTTTTTGTATTGGACTTGGCCCTTGACCTGAGAAAGGCTTCATCCTTATCTTTTCCTCTTGAGAGCTTAAAAGCCTCCTACCCTGGAAGTTAGGGGCGCTTTGCCAACTGAGGGAGACGTCCTTTCCAGTTCAGAGCGTTGATGTTTTGGGTAACATGTGTATCTGCCTCATCATTTTGCAATAAATCAGACGCAGAGTGCTAAGTAGCTGCATTTGAGAATTATCTGAATTGCAGAGGCTAATCTAGCTCATCTTTCGGTGTTTGATTCGAGAAAAAGCTCCACTTCAACTCTCCCTGGTGAATGCTACCAATATGTTTACTATACCTGTCAGCCGAGGAATGTGGGGGTTCCCCCGTCCTTGTAAAATTCCCCGTTCTCGTGAGAAGTATATGAGCTGTGCTTTGAACACTCACTGAATTACAATGTTGGCCTGTGCAAACTAAAGCATGTTGGGCCCAATCTTCAACTAATCAGCACAGCTCTAACTGGAATCTTCGTGTCCTCCTGCTTCTCAGAGATTGAGGCCCGCCCCTTTGCCCCTTTTAAAGGTGAGCTTGGGTAATTATGGAATGACTAGGTATAGTGGCTTAACAACACAGTTCAAAAGAAAAAGCAAGATCAACTAGGGCTCTCAGACATATGTTAAAATTATAAAGAACAATTCTTATTTGTGATATTTTTAAAATTTGTTATTGGAATGCCTCATTCTATGTGTCTAAATTCCCAACTTTGAGCTCTCTCCCCTCTCCCAAGTAAGTAGAATGCCTCAGCACTGTCTTCAGATTCTCAAGATGTTTTCTCTAAATTTGTAAATCTTTTTTTAAAAAATATATTTTATTGATTTTTTTACAGAGAGGAAGGGAGAGGGATAGAGAGTTAGAAACATCGATCAGCTGCCTCCTGCACACCTCCCACTGGGGATGTGCCCGCAACCAAGGTACATGCCCTTGACCGGAATCGAACCTGGGACCCTTCAGTCCTCAGGCTGAGGCTCTATCCACTGAGCCAAACCGGCCAGGGCTTAATTTGTAAATCTTACCAAGCAGTTGATGTAGGAGAAATTATTTTCCATTTCCCCAGCCTGCATGTTACATATTCAAAACTAGCCTGTTATTTGTAGGCTCTGGCTTGATTTTCCATGGTTTTGTAGCATCTCAAGAGATGTCTGGAGCTAAAGGATGGTGGGAATATCACCTTGTGTCTACTGCAGAAATATGTCCAGGCTTTGTCCCCACTCTAAGCCGGTGGTTCTCAACCTTCTGCCCTTTAAATACAGTTCCTCATGTTGTGATCAACCATAAAATTATTTTCGTTGCTACTTCATAACTGTAATGTTGCTACTGTTATGAATCGTCATGTAAATATCTGATATGCAGGATGGTCTTAGGCGACCTCTGTGAAAGGGTCGTTCGACCGCCAAAGGAGTCGCGACCCACAGGTTGAGAACCGCTGTTCTAAGCCATTCTAACCAGCCGTGGCTTCTCAATCAAAAGCGGGGATGGGAGTGTCTTCCCAGGGAGTTGTCGTTACAAGTGATGGTAGCGTTGCTGCATCTTGTTTGTGAATCTCTCTGGCGTTGTGTAAGCCGTGCTAAGTTCTACGGGGCGCCTGGAGAAGATTCCTCTCCTTGGATGTTTACATACTTGTGACTCTCCTAAGGGCATCCTTGCCTGGCTGTATGAGCCCATTGGCTGGACACGCCATGTGGTCAAGGATTCTGGTTCCTGCTGCTCTTCCAGCTGGTGAGCGTGTCCAGGGCCAGAAGTGACTGACCTGCTGAGGATTGCACTGGGAACGTCCGCGCCAAAGCTTCCTGAGATTGCGTCACTCTTGGCTCCAGACACGCAGGGTGGAGAGAGTCCCTTGGATTTGCATCCCCTGTGTTTTTGTTTCTGAGCTGGAGCACCTGACTCCCAGGAGAGCGCAGGCAGTCTTAGGGTGCTGCAAGGTAGAGGTGAGCGGTGGAGCGGCAAGCCAGCGAAAATACGGGAAAGCTTATGTGGGGTGAAATCTGTGGTCAGGAAGGCCTGAAAAAGAAAAGCTGCTGAAAGAGTAAGAGGCTGGTTGATAATATTCATTTTCCCTGCAGGCGGCTTGTGTGTTCTCTTGTGTCTCCACACTTAGGAGCCCAGGTTTTTCCCTGTTGAAGTTCTAGTGGTTCTTAAACTTAGCCACACCTGGGACTCCTCAGGGGTGCTTAACATGGATGTAGGTAGACATTCTGGGTTCATTAGTCTTAGGCATTCTAGTTTGTAAAAGTCCCCAGGTGAGTTTAATGTGTAGCCGAAGTTGAGAACCATTGGGGAAAAAAGATAAGTAATTACATACACACCTTCCTCACCTGGAAAACTAAAAGTAAGTGGGGAGTGAAATGGACCCCCCCCCCCCCCCGCAACCATGTGCCCACAACCAAAGTGTGTGCTACAACCAAAGCTTGTGATCCCCGCAGAAAACCGAATGCTATGCACCTTAAGCTATTATGGGCTTTAGAAGACTGTGGGAAACACGGCTTTAAAACAATCTCAAATGTGATGCTTCAGAATCCTAGGCTCAGGGCTCGCTCATGATTGTACTTGACCTTGAGCCTTCCTGACTTTGAAGCTCTTTGTGTGGGAGCCCTTGATGCTTTGGCAGTGAAATAGTCTGAAACAGAAATACGGAGGGGTCACCTTTGGTGCTGACTGGCCAGGCAGGGTGGGGGGCATTCTTTGGGCCCTTCCCCTCTTCTGAAGGGGTAGGAGCTCTGGGAACTGGGCTGGTTCCCAGCACAAAGGGCCAGGAGGGGCCAACGAGCTTCAAAGCTGAGGAAGCTGTGCCAGTTTTCTTCCCAGCCCCTTTCATGATGGGAAATGTGTCTCTAAAGACTTCTGTCATTCAGAGAAGGGAGACTTTCCGCAAGCTAAGGAGGGTGGCGCGTCTGCCCAGAGCCCAGACGGAGATGTCGGGGGAGCAGTCACGGTGCAAGGAAGAAAACAGTGGCTTCGGAACCAGGAGACCTACATGTTCTGTTTCCCTGGGCCAATCACTGAGCTCTCCTGGCCTCAGTTTCCCCATCTAGAACCAGCCTTCAATGTTTGTCTCCTTGATTTCCTGAGCACTCGTCAATGCTGGGTGCTCTGTGGTCGCTGTGGACTCTTTGCAGGGAGGAGGCGGTCTGAAGTGAGGGAGGGAATGTGGGTAGCCCAACAAAGGTCAGTTTAGAATTGTGATTCTTATAAATAAAAGCAATTTCCTGCTGAGAGCAGAGAGCAGCAGCCTTAGTGGGAAGGCGAATGCCATCGGCCGTGCCAGGAATTTGTTTC